ATTTCTGCCCTGGACTCTACCTATATCTTAGATACTGGTGTCACTTTGGAATCGTATCTGTCCATACCACCTGTCAAAGAGTCTCCCTGGTTGTTTTTCTCGTTACTAGCTATCCTGTGCCCCGAAGGGCCCACGTGCCTCCCAAAAAAGCTACTGCGCGTCCTGCAAGTCGCGAACCCACCTCATGACCTAGCCGCCAATCGAAGTGAATTCTGTCTCGCTGAAAACCACCCAACCTATGCACCTCTCTGTTTATTTCCACCACTTCAAAGCCTTTCTCTCGACTCATCCGTCATAGCTCTTGGTTTGCGTTGACAACCACTTTTTGCTGGTTGACGTCACGCACCGGTACCTCCGGTATCGTGCATATCACTACCTGTACCTGAGGAGAAATGGCGCGCATGTCAACGACCCTTTTCGCCGGTGTGGTCGCTAGTACTGCCATATCTTCATTTAGGACATCGTTTAAGCCGCCTGAAATTATCACGAGGTTTCGTCTATCAGCTGTAGTTTTGAGTTTCGTGCTCACTTGCCTCATGACTGGTTCCAGCTTGTGTCCTGGGAACGTCCCTACTGCAACCCTCTTGTCACCTCTTACCCTCTCTTTGATTGCTTTGGCACATCGAATTAAATTCGAGTCCCCGGCGATTATCACATGCTGTGACTTTTCAGCTGGAGCGTCCTGTACCTGGGGGTAACTTGCACCTGTGACGCCGGCTGCTTTGTCCCCTCCCAGCCCCTCCAGTACTTCACTGTTGCTGGGCCTTGCGACAATTGAACCAGCTGAACCTTTTTTTCCAAACTCGCTAGTTCTTTCTTCTCAGCCGTTCTGGTTGCCGGTGCCCTACTGTTCTCTCCATAGGCCGCTCCTTTGTTCACCTTGGCTAGTCCTTCCTCGGCGGACTTCAACCTTTCGCCTATTGCCCTCACTTTTTCTTGCGCTGTCGCCAACGCAGTCTCAAGCTTGGTGATTCTAACCAACAGTTCACTCTGGGCAACCACCATTTTCCCATTTTTTCCTCGACCTCTCATCGCCTACACTTCGCGTCAGCCTCTTCTCTATTTGCTTGTCCACTTGGGTCTATTTTCAATCTCCCTCGCATCCAGAACACTTTACAGCTTTTTTAACTATGTCTTTATGACACCAATTGTCCTTACGACTTGCCTCACTCGATAATTACAAAACACGACATGACCCCTGCCCGACGAAAAAGAGAAAGTCGAAGCTCTACTACAAACTTTGCGTGTTCAATGTACGTGCACCTCCCCCACGGGGTGGCAAAAGGAAAAAAAAACACAAAGAAACAAACACACACACACACATGCACAAACTAGTAAATCCCTGGTGACTGACCCCCGGAAAAGCCGTACGATATATTAAGGGCTACAAAGATTTTAACTGCTGCCTTAATAATTATAAAAGCACGCTCAAAACATGCAAAACCACTTATCTGCGCAGTCAACCGGGAGCGCTCAAAAAACACGTCCATCCACCGTGCCAGTCCGAACCGAACTCCATATATATATACAAGAACAACGCCCCCTAGGGGCCAGACAACAGGTTCTAAAACTGGAACTGAAACCCTGATACCACATCATCCCTCCATTGAAACAAAAAACACTTCGGGTTGTACCATTTAACGTGATCTTAAACTAACATAGAATAAAATGTACAGCATGCACACTAAAACAAGAAGTAAAGCACACTGACATACACACGTAACACAGTGCATGATGTAATGCAGTTGAAGTGGCACAACAAATCATGAAGAATAAAAAAAAGTTGGCAGATTTCACGTACAGGGGTAATCGATGATATGCGAAGCACAAATGAGAAATTTTGATATTAGCGTGGTTACACGAGCAGTCTAACCATAGTTAAGTACGAGAGCCGTTAAGTCTAATGGCTGTGGCAACTAGTCACACGACAACCCTTGCCGCAGTTAATGCGCTAACAACTGCTTTCGTAAACGGAGGTAGGCAACCTTTGTTTGCGCCATAAACTGACAAAATGGCGGCGCCCATGACGGACGCGAATAGCTTGGTTCCCAAGGAAGTGTTGAGCCAAAGGCGGGTGAACTGGTCTGTGGCGGCGACGGAGGCGGTAAAACAAATTTGGGAGGACAATCTAACTGCTCTCAGTTCCAACACAAGGAACACTCGGATTTATAAATCTATGGTAGATATTCTGAACTCTTGCCTGCCGGATGGTGAAGGACCGTACAGCGTCTAAAAAGTATGCCAAAAACTTGAAAACTTAAACAGGCAGTACAGGTGAGTGGTATTTTTGGTGTTTTTTTGTATCTCTGCTTCCAATTTACGGGACGTGTTTAGGCACTGGAATGGAATACTGGCCTGTGTGACTAGGCCTCCACCTTCACAACGTCGCAGCCACTTGTTGGGTTTGAATCTTTTGAACAGAGTGCGCTCTCGAATTCGCGCAATTTTTTTTTTTTACGAATGGTACAATTGGCGTTCAAATCAGCTCTGGCTCAAGTTAAAAGTGCGCCCTTTACACGCCTGCAAGTTTGTCCATGCTGCGAAAATATGCTTTTACAAAAAGGAGGCTTTCTTTCCTGCTAGAATTTACTTGTCTCTATGATAGCTACAGTGTCTTCTTTTAACGAGATACAGGCCGGTTCTGTAATTTTTCAAGCTGCATTAAAAATTGCGAACCTCACGCAAACGAAAAGGCCGAGCGCACGTTCAGGTGGCTTTTTGTCTATGTCCCGTTAGCGGAGGCTTAACAAACACAAGGATTACTATAACCTGCCGAGGCACATAGTGTGATCAACTTTAGGTAATGCTGTGTATTTTTCTTACATGAATGACTTCCTCGCCCGTTGTTTTTTCAGACGGCAGTAAAGATATCGGAAATGAACTGGTGTGTGAGTGAGAATTTATTAGAAGGCAGAGCGGTCGGCCTGAGCTAGTTCGCTCTAGCCTGCTTCTCTACATAGGGAATAGGGAAGAGGGATGAAGGGTGATGACGGGGACTAGAAGAGTTGGTGCGTATGTACAGTAGCCACTCGGCATAGTACCCTACAGACTAACATCTAGTACAGTGCTTTTTATAAAATCTAAAACAGTCTTTGGAGCAGTTTTTGACACTGCTTGGTCGTTCATTGCTGACAATATGCGGCTTTCACAAAATGGCGTTCCTCCGATGCTTGCCAACGTTGCAGTTAGCATTGTTCTTTGCCCCACGTATAATGCACAGTCGCAAAATATGTGAGCTAAAGTTTCGTGCACTTGGCAGCGCTCACAATTCGGGCTGTCCGCACGAACGATTAGTGGCGAGCGAAGGCGCCTTCGTAGTGGCGCCTTCGTAGTGGCGAGCGAAGGCGGCTCCCAGGCGAATCCGGTGCAGTATATTAGCTTGTCTTCGGCTCATTTTATCTGGAAGACGAAAAGTCATACCGGGGTCTGTTTCCTGCAGACGCTTGTTCCGGTGATCTGGTAGCGACCAGTAAATGGCAGTGCTTTCGCGCATGAGCGATCTCAACAATGTGTTGACGTCACTTCGCGAATACGGTACGGACGTACATAGGAGCGTTGTATACTGCCGCTCTTGCTTCGCTATCGGCTGTTTCGTTGCCAACCAGGCCGCAGTGTCGCGGAATCCATTAGTGTAATCAAGTGACCGCTCCTGCATGTTAGGTCAAATGCTTGGACGAATCCTAACGCTAACTCATAAAATTGGCCTCTTCTTGAGCATGAATGAATAGGTTGAAGCGCTGATTTTGCATCGAACAGAATCGCCCATGTACGCGGTGCTTTGTCCTTAACAAATTTTATGGCTTCCTGTATAGACACCAGCTCTGCAGCTGTCGGGGATGACCTGTGATCTCATTTGTACTGTCGAGAAATACCGAGTTAGTGATACGAAGGCTGCAGCTGAGGCAGACGAAGTTACAGATTCATCGGTGTAAATGTGCACAGAGTCACTGTATTGGTCATCCAAATGTGCCAAGGTGAGTTGCTTGAGGGCAATATAAGAAACACGCGATTTATACGAAATTCCTCGTATGTGAAGGCACACCAGCGGTTTAGTCAATGTCCATGGAGGCACTGCAGGGATTACGGCTGGTGAAAAGCCTGAAGGGATCATGTGTTTATGCGTATTGAGGCATCGCGAATAGGTACAGCCTGGTCGGTCCGCTTGTAGCGAAGACAACGGGTGCTGTGCGTGTTGGGTCAGCAGACGAAGGTGCACTCGAAGAGGCTCACGGGACGTGTAAACCTGTATTGGGTAGGTGAGGGACTCCTCTATAGTGCCAGAGCACAATGCCAGAGTGCCATTAGGGCAGAGTATGTAATGTGTTTAATAAATTGGTATTGCTGTATCACTGCGCTTATTATCTTTGTGCACCTGGCAGTTTGTTACTTTGGAATGCTTTTTGTTTGGCCGGCAGAACTACCGTGTATGCATGTCTATGTGCTACAAAATTTCCAGTGTCCACGAAAACATTCTTTGCAAAAAGATGAGGCGTTGTGGCTCAAGCACTGGTGCTAAAGGCATAGAATGGCCGTTTTACGGGCAGCTGCTTTCTTTTCTCGGATCACCGCCAATCAACGACAGTGACCTGGTCGAGGAAAGTTTCGAGGTAGTCAGCTGTTTTTACCATTACGCTACAACTAGTAACAGGTTATTGCTGTGAGCCAACTTGGCGTGTGTTCTCAGTATGCTATGAATATTGCATGTGATGTTGCTAGAGCGCCGCAGTGAGAATTGATCAAGCAGGTCATTGAAAATGTAATTGTTTATTAGCTTGATATCAAGCAATAAACACATTACAGCCACCAAAATAGCAATAGAGGCTGCCATTCGTTATATTCAAGCTCATGCATATGCATGGCCAGTGTATATTTCATGTAAAGTAATTCATTTATTTTACCAATTGCTGCGTGAAGTCCATGTCCAGTCAGACATTTCTTGCTAACGAGCTGTAAACAAGTGCACTTTTGTTAATAAGTATTTCCTTTTCTGTCATGCACAGGTGCCAGTAGTTGACGAAGAACCAACAGGCAGTGAGGTTGTGGCTGTATTTGACACAGCGGAGAGTGGAACCACTGCTACAGCCAACCCTGAAACCAGCGTGGACGAGAATTTCACAGCGGACACCCAAGGACAAGCAGCAGACCCTAGTACTAGCAGTACAAGCAGCAGCACGAGCAGCCTCACCTTGACCGCGGACAGGTATTAGTGGCGACCAACCTGGAATGTCATCGTTGAATAGAATAAATAACCTGATTAATGTGCAACATGTCACGCTGGTGTCCTGGACTATAGCCTTAAAAGAGCACTGACATCAAATTTCCAGATCGAGATGTGCCCATCATTCGATCGCTTGGTATGCATAGGTCATCTTGGCCAAATTTGAACGGCATCCGTCATGTGGAAGTTATTTTATTTGAATGTCACCCAGCGTAAAAAAGCTAAGGAGAAAAAATGAAAAATAGACTGCCCGTGACATCGACGCTAGTGCTATATGTTCGGTGTGATACATTTCACAAATACCGTCTTGAGTGACGATGCCCTAATAGCGATGAAGTGTACGATCCGAGTGTTCTTATCGTGGCGCCGACTGGCACCGAAGCGCAGAAACGCACTCGCTCGTCGCGTCTGATCTTCGTCGCTCCGGTTTGAATGATTTCGTGAAATTATCAAGATAAAAACCACCTTTCAAGGAACGGCGAAAGAAAAGAGCAAAGAGCATGATTAAACGTGTGCTTGTCGGTCAGCATGTCGGGGAATTGTTTTGAGTTGCAGGTGAGTCGCACTCGTCTAGTTCGAAGAACGAAAAAAGCGCTATGAGGGTGTCTTTTACTTGTCACGTATGTGTTACACATCAACACGACCACAAGCTGTCAAAAGTGGAACAGCGTGTGGTCAGATATCATCGCTAACAAGTAACACACAGGTATCGTTGAATTTTAGTTTGTCTGTAGACTTTGCGTCCACGTAGAAATGGTAATACCGTGTTAACCGCCACAGTCTGGATAGGTGGGGCCATCTGGAGGCGCAAAAAAAAAAATCTGGCAAGCAAGGAACCTATTATGTTTCTCAGCTGATGCTCATTCGCGATTGCTGCGCTGCATTGACCGCTCTGCTTATACCTGAACGATTTGCACGCCAAAACACACCAATATAGCCAACTGAGACACACGAGCGAAGATGGCTGAAGCGTGCATCTTCGGGCACCTTTGCAGTGCTGCTTGGAACAGCATACATTTCGGAATCACTGTTCTGCAAAAGGTCAATCGCAGCAACATATTTCGCAACGTCGCGAATCGCGGCGATGGCAAGCTCCAGACTATCGTATTGAACCCGAATCGACACCTTGTACGGCAACGCCAGCAATGCAGGTGATAAGGCATGACTGAATATGTGTCCGCCTAGCAGACGAAATGTTTGCGAAACAGCTGAGCCTGACGTTACTCTTTTCTGTGGAGAAGTAGTCAGCTGTTGCGTGATCTGGAGGTTACCGCGAGGTAGCGCCACTGTTGATGTTCCCAGCGCTAAAAATGACGGAATTTTCAGCCGTTTTGAATAGTGCTAGATACCTACGAAAGAAATTAATAAAAGCGATAATTATTCATCTCTCAGTTGTGGTTTAGCTCCCAAATCGCTGCTACGGGGTCTATAGCTACTCGCTGACGCAAAAATCTTGGCATGAGGGAATTTGATGTCAGTGCTCTTTTAAGCGTGCCACTCCCTCGTTAGGACTGCAAGACCTAGGTATTTCAGACGCTTCACAGGCCCATTAGACTGCCCATAAATATTCATCTTATTCAAAACAGCGTAGAGATGCGTTGCGCCATTCTTCAGTATTTTACTTGTCGCTGCATAACGCGGAGCAACACCAGGGCGTATGAGCGAGATCCATGGGGTCATGGCGCTTATTGCATGTTGCGGGAAGGAAGGACTCGTGATAAATTTTGTTATTAACAGCTGGTTCGGTTACGTGTTTCTTTGTGATAGCTTTAGCATATTGGGCTGAGATTTGTTTAGTTTACTGTGTGCAGTAGGAAAGGCACTGCGTCCTAGGTAGAAATGTTTGGCTAGCCCGATGTACGAGAGGAGTCGATCCCTGCATTCTAAAACCTCTGAATCTTGTTGCCTTGTGGTGGCATGGGCGAAAAGTCCTCGGACAGCATTGTGGGCAGATTCGTTGGGGTACGCAGGAGCACCATTCATTTCTCCCATGTGAGCTAGAAACCAAATAAAATTGTGTGGTTTGGTTACGGCTCCGTTGAGCATTACCGGAGCTTATCTAGAGATTACTCCTTTGACAAATACTCGGATGGCTGCCATTGAATCAATGGGGATCTATTCGGGTCTAAAAGTACCAATGCAATTTATGCTTGCTCGGCAATTTCTGACTCTGTGGTGTAGGTGGAAGCTGAGTTCACTGATTCACTTTTACCGTTCACAAGTACTGTTGTGAAGCTTGTTTAGAGGATATGAAATCAACGTAAAGAAGCTCGCATTGTTCAGGCTGACTTCCAGCTTTTTCTAGCAGGGCTTTGGCTCTTACTTGTATTCTGCTCACATTATGAATGGGGTGAACATTCTTTGAAAGAGGCATGACTTTGATATTGTCCTTGAGATCACTGGGAATTTCTTGATTGATATGTGGGGTTTAACGTCCCAAAACCACTATATGATTATGAGAGACGCCGTAGTGGAGGGCTCCGGAAATTTAGACCACCTGGCGTTCTTTAACGTGCACCCAAATCTGAGCACACGGGCCTACAAGATTTCCGCCTCCAACGGAAATGCAGCTGCCGCAGCCGGGATTCGAACCCGCACCCTGCGTGTCAGCAGCCGAGTACCTTAGCCACTAGACCACCGCGGCGGGGCACTGGGAATTTCTTCGTGGCTGTCATCTATCACTGTAATTAGTGTACGAATGCATTTGAAGAAGCGCCTTTCTCATTGCGTCGTTGCGAGTCTAATGGACTGGGCCGCTTCTTGTGCCTCAGCCATTTCCTCCAGTGTATTGTGCACCCCTAGACGCATGCGTTTTTCAGTTTCGGTGTAGATAGGTAGGCCAGGTGATTACCTTGACATTTATTATTCCGTTTCCAATTGATTACCTTTACTACCTCCCCCAACAATTCATTCAGTTTGTTTCTTTCGAATCTCTGCCACTCGTGCGCAGCTTCTACGCAGACGATGTGACATTGGTAAAATTTTAAAGGCGACAAATTTGCACAAGTGGCTTCTGTGTACTAGCGTGTCGCGTACCGCAAAAAAAAAAAAAAAAACTGAGGTAGGGTGACATCATGCATGTGCTCTATTCCTCCATCTCAATCTCTTTCTCTCTCAGTTTCTTTACTCTTTCGAATTTCAATATTCAACACCCCATTCTGCATTTGAATGTAGCATACGGGTTATTGTCGGCTGGTTAACATTCCTGCTGCTTTTCCTGTCTTTCTTTTTTTCTTTCTTTTTAGTCATGCTGTGAAATGGTAAAGTATTAGCTGCTGAATATGGCTCTTTGGGCTAGTTGATTAAATAAAAAGTTCTAATAAGCATACTATCCTGTCAGTGCCGGTCCCGTTGTGTTTTTCTCGTAGCTGCCTGCTAGTGATAGGATGCCCTTTAGTGTATTCACCTCTGTTTATGATCAATTGATAACTCTAACTAGTGCTGCTGGGTCGATGCGCATTAAATTTTACTGGATTGGAATCATTTTGTAATATTTACAGTTTAATTAAGCACGTGTTTTAATTACACTGATTGTGCTTTTATAGGCTACAAGTTTATTCAAATTAAATGTCCTAATGCAATCTTAATCTTAGTTCAACTGTATGAAGTGTTTTACATTGAAAAAAGAATCACCAAGTTTGGAAGTTGCGTTCTATCTAGAACGAGTAGGAGATGAACTGGAAGAACGAGAGGGAGCAGAGAGCCAGTAGGTGAGCTGATGGAATTCACAAATGGTTCAATTGCATGAATGTTTCAGCGCGTATATATATATATAATTATATATATATATATATATATATATATATATATATATATATATATATATATATATGAGTTTGGGCCACTGGGGTGTCCCGAGGATATCATCCTCGTATTTTTTGTCAGAAAAAAAAGGAACTGTAACAATGAAACAGAGCAGGTTCGCATCATAAATGATGCAATTGATATACTATAAATATGCCAAAGAATCCTACAAAAATTAGTCCTCTTCACAGAAATTAAGGTAAGTGATTTGATACGGGAATTCGTTTTTCTCCTGCAAACAAGTCAGGAGTGTTAAGAAGAGCAAAAGATAGGAACGATAATAGCAACAGGAGTGTAAAAGCGTGATCAGCCTACATGGGTCCAGCAGAAAATGAGATAAATAAAATGAAATGACACCTTTCAGCTAAGCAAGACACCTAATATGTGACCATGGTGACATATTGTCCATGGTCATCGTTGTCGACCCCCGGCTGGTAGCTTATTGCTGTCTTGGATAGTTTTGAGAATAAATTATTTCTTCAAAACTTTTGTTCTGCACGGGGCTTTATTTACTATTTCATTGTTGTCAGCCTGTTGTAATCAATTGCGAGGCGGCATATATACCTGTCCATTTGAGAATGAAAAAAGCTTTCGCTGTAATTTTTTTGCGATGACAGTTCTTTGTCAGTACTCGCTCAAAAACGTCGCTTTTAGAGACCGAAGTAAGAAATAGACACATAGCTACATCCAAAACTCAACCGCATCAGATAAATTGAAGGTTCGTCAGCCAGCCAATGCTGTAGCGGCAGAAATTTTCCTCTTCACGGCCACCTGGGCGTTTGAAATATTCATGCTTGACCTACATTGCGGCCGCACTAAATTCGTGCGGAACCATCCAGACCACGCTCGCTTTATGGCACTGCACTGGTGAAATATATCCGTCTGAAAACACCGCCCGGTTGGGCATAGCATCGTTTTGAATTATGCAAGGGCAGCGAATGGGTCGGTGCTTCCTGGGCGCTTTCCCAGCTCTAGCGCCGAACCTGTTGCGGGTACGGGTTACATTTTCCCGGCCTTTCACCGGACGCAGGCATCCACATTGTCCTTGCGAGAGCCGCGCACCGAAATTGAGAACGCCATTAGCGCTCCGCGAAAAAATGGCTTGCTGCAGCTCCAAGGGACGATGGCTTTTTCTCCTCCCAGCCACCTCCTTGCCCTGGGCTTATCCCGCATGACTGATGCCTCGTTTATAAACAATGCAGCTTCGACCCATGTCCGTGCCTACCGGCGTGTGCAGAAACAC